GTTTAAGTCAACTGAAAGGGTATATGCAGTAGTTATAAGACAGGGAACTCCAGTCTCACTTCATCCGTTCCTTCTCTTTGTGAATTACAAACTTTTAGTGTATTTTACAGCAGCAGCAACAGGAGACAGTGAACTAGTTAACACAATTGTGGTGTACTCAGTGGTTATTTGGGGGGTATTGCCCATTTGAAAAAGCCTTGCTGCCCAGGTTCAGATGATGTGGCAAGTTACACCAGCAATATAATGAAGGAAATTTGGCCATCATCCATTATGGCTTATTGTCCACACCATTAATATATGAATTTGGTCCCTGTAGGAGAAAGGGCCATATGTAGTTCTTCATGAAAAGGGAAATAAGGAGAAATCTGATTATATTTTAAACAAATGCCTGTACACCATAAGACCATTGGTCCATCTGTAACCCAGTGTTGCCTATGTTCAGTGGTAGGGGCTCCCTCAACTTTGAGATAGATACTTTTCCAGCCAAGCTGTTTTAATGAAATAATAATGATTATACTTAGAACTTGTGGCCTATCTTGAACTATAGTCTAATACTGTGATTATTTTAATTTTTCGTTGATCTTGGGGTCAATTTGATATGAGTTACATTTTTAACCAAGTGTGCTTAATCTGACCTTTAAAGAAATATTTTGAAGAAAAAAACAGATATGGGGTGCCTATCTGAAATGTGCTTGTGAATAGAACTGAGGACCTGTCTTAATGTTTGAGCCATAAGTGCTGTTTGGCAAGAATGAGAGAAAAAGCAACCAGGAGGGAACAATTTTCAGCAAAATGCTTGTAACTGGGGCCTCACAGCTACCTTTTCTGGATTATAAAAGTGGCCAAATTAAGTACACTTGGTTGAGAAGGTGACTAATGTTGTGGGTAGACTGGCCTTCACACAGGTTTGTTAATTAGTACTCTATTAAAAACAAAGGGATGCAGTTTGTTTACCTTTGGCATTCCCTTATGAGATGCCTAGGATCTTGAATCGGACTAATTGGCTTGTTCCTTCCCTGTCTCCCAGGGCATACATGATACCTTTTCATCTTTCAAGTTTTACCGCATATAGGAAGCCTTCCATATTAAGGATAAAATGTATGTTTGTTATATCATTAAACTAGAATTCATGCATGAACAACTCTGAGTTTCAAAAGGTTTCTTAGAAGAAAAATGGCCTGATCTGCACTTTTTCATTTTCTTGTTATAGTGACCTTTTTGCATGTATTTTCTGCTTTTATAACATTATATGTGCCCTTGTTCCCTAACATTTTCTATATTCATTGCTTACTTTTTGGAGTAAGGGGAGGAAGAAGCTTTAGAGTTTGGAGTTGGACTGGACTTTGTTTCCATGTTTTATTGCTTTTTTACTTGAAAAGCTAGTTTGACAGGTGGGTTAGAATTCTTCTTTACAGTTTTAAAACAAGTACATTTCAGATTTTTTTTTAATACAGAAGCTATCATATCAGAAATAGCTTTTTTGGACATTGGTGCTACTACAGTCTAACCTCAGTGGGATAAAGTGATCAGTAAATGACAACAGTTACAATTTAATTGTGACCCAAGGGTTGTGTGATGAAAATTTAGCCTGTTGTAGTGGTTCCCTTAGGTTTACAACTTCCTTGGCTGAGCTAGTTACATCAGTCTTGGAAGGAGTTCAAAAGATCAGAAACCATTGTTCTGTAAGTGCTTTTGCTAAAAGGGCTTCTCTTACCCCTGGCAAATTACTTTCAAAAAAGCCTTAGGGATAGCCTGTTTGGTTACTTCCATGGCTATTTTGGGGAGCAGTAGGAGGACAGGCTGAACTAGAATGTTGGATTTCTTTGACAATATTGTCAATTAAATAGAGCAGACTCACAGGGTGTAAGGTTGTAGAAGATTTCTTGATGTGGACTACTCCTAGCCTTAGGTGATGTGGGTGGGGGGAGATAAGGTAATGTGTGGGTATCTGTGTCTATGGGATAGAGAGATAAGGTGTGAGGTTGGTCTTCCTAAGTGTTGGGTGGGAAGTTGCCAGAGAAGGCACATGCTTCTTAGTGATCCTGGAGAAAAGTTTCATCATATAACCACTTCCTGTTAGAACATCAGTGGTCATGTGGGAATAATTCAGTTTTCTAGGCTTTTGGCTTCTTGCTTCCCATAGGTATCTTTGAAACTTGCTATAGGCTTTTGTGGTCTTCCTTCCTTCCTTGTCTTTTATCTCATCACCTCTCAGCTGAGCCCTGTCAAGTGAATAGTCTTATTTTACTCTTTGGAAAGTCTGACCAATTTTCCTTGCCTTGCATACTTAGGAAGTTTGTATAGGTATACTGCCCTGTTTCTACTGGTGATCAGTAGTTTTCTTACTTCAGCCCTCTTCCTGGGAAGGATGCACCATCAGTGAATTTAGAATAGAATAGTAGTAGAATTGGAAGACCCTAAAAGACCATTGAGTCCAACCCCCTGTTCTGCTTCCACATGTGGTTACTCATCCAGCTGTAGGCCTGTACTTTTCCAGATGAGCAAAAGTGGCTTGACATGCTAGCTTAATGTATAGCTATGCAGGCAGGAGGCTGCAGAATAAAGAGGAAATTGAAAGGTAGGTTGATGTATGGGGCTGTATATTTGTATTCTAATATTTTCTCCTGGTTCTCTGGAGAAAATGTAGAAAATAAACTTCTACGTTTATTTACTTTTGCCATCACAGGGTCTCTTTTCTAAGGTTCCTGCTACAGGTGGATTTTCCTAAAATTAGGGAGTTTTAATCTCTAATTGGGGCAGGCTTCCCTGCTCCCACTTTAGAAATGGATTTTCAGCACACTAAGGATGGTGCCCTGTTTCACATTACTGGCTTCCCCTGGAAGTATGTGTTTGCAGAGACGTTCTTTTACTTTTTGGCTGACATGTTTATATCTTGGGGGAACAACCTGCTCATAAACTGGATTCCAGGCTGGATGATGTAACATGGATTCCATCTCATTTTATATTGTGTACATTGCCTGTGGTTATGGGACAGCATAGAAATACATAAACAAACTACAACTTCAAGTTTAATGCTGTCTGGTGAAGAGTTTTTTCATGAATGTAGCAATTGCCAGCCAAGGTAAATGTATCCACTGATGAGACTGTAGTGGTAAGTTCTATTTCAGCTGATTTAATTGACTGATACATAGAATTTTAGGAGGACAGGGGACAAGCCATGGGTTACTTTATAATGAAAAAAAGATGCAGGTAGCCAGTTTGGTCGATTAGGAAAAAATCTAACGGGAACAGCAAGGTAATACTTAATTATTAATACAATTAAGATGCCACAAATTAGCAGATACTTCCTAATAAAGGGTATCATCCTGCTATTACCACTTCATGAAGTAAACTGTGGCTTCTGCTTTCAGATCTTAGAATTATATAAACTTCAAATAAAGTCTGCCAAGTGGCTTATACATATATTTTGGGCCCATGGGGTAGAAGCTGAAGCAGTTTTGTGCACTTAAGCTGAGATGGAAAGGAGTACTGGTGGGTGTCTGTAGCTGTTGGTAGCCATGCAGTATCTGCTGAAAACTAACTGCTACTGCTCTTAATATTATAGGGCTAACATGTTGCTAGGCACTGTCAAAACATACGTACACAGACTTGAAAATATTTGATTTCTGTTTCCTTTGCTAATTTCTGTCCTTGCATACAAATTATCAAACTGGTTATTGCTACTGGAAGTACATTGATACGCTGAAGCAGGCTACTCCTTTCATATTCTTTTACCTTATCATTTAGAGCTTTATTTTAGTAGTTACTCAGACCAATCTATATGCAATGCAAGACCTTTGAGCATATTTCTCTTCTAATGCTAGCTGAGTGGAGCAGCCATATTGGAAGAGTGGGCATTGAATCCTTCCCTATCACTCTTTTTCAGTAAAAATTCCATCTGCTTGTAGTTTCTGTTTATCCAGCAACAAGGTGTCAAGATATCTTGTCCCTTTAAGAGTCTCTATCTCTGAAGTGACTAATGACTCCATTTTCAAATAACAGAGCTTTCATGTTCTAAACATCTATCAAAATATACCACAGGAAGGAATGAGAAAACATTCCCTCAGTCATTAGCATTTAATTCTACTTGCTTGAGTTGAAAATAGGTGCATAGCTGATTTGTGTATATGCACTGGACTTGGCAGACCTCCAGGTCCAAACCTCATTGGAGGATTCTTTTCCAAATGTAATCTCAGGAGGAAGAGAACGATGTAAGCTGCTTTGCATTTGTTTTAAGAAAAAAGCAGAATATAAATCAAATAAATAAGAGGGCCTGCCTTAATTGGGAATCAGATATGAACAGGGCATGGATAATTATGTAAGATCTGTTTTTCTCTGTAATAACCACAGCTGGAACTAATGAATTACACTTCAGGCTATAGATAAGACTAACTCTAAAAGTCCTCAAAGTCTTTCAGTAGTGAATGCATCCTCATAAAAACAGTTATACATAGTACATCTTGTAGTTAACTCCTAGGATTATCTGAGGTAACATTTGATCAGTCTGTATCACCAATGGGCAACCCATGGATTATATAGCTGTTGGAGTACTCTAGTGCATTTCTCGGTGGGTGCCCGTTGTTTCTCCTCCAAAATCCACATGGACCATTGTTCCTGTGCTTGTGTTAGGCTGAGGACAGACAGAGATTACTCTTATGATTGCTCACCAGGCAGTTGTTTGGCCTTTGCAGCTGCATGTGTCCATGGTCCCCAACACACTGCAGAGTGTTGCCTGTATGATCAAAATTTTGGCCAGTCCTAGTGTTCATGTATATGATTGGAAGAATGATGGATATTGAAGATTAATCTCACAGCTTCCATGTAGCTTGAAGGGCCTGATCATGCCTCATCTTGGAAGCTAAGCAGGGTCAGGCCTGGTTGGAATCTGGATGGGGGACTTCAATGTTGTGAACCACCCAGAGAGCTTCGGCTATGGGTGGTATAGAAATATAATTAATAATAATAATTCTATTTTTCTTTTTTAAATTGTCTTTTTGTAGAGATGCTGCAGTTTGTTAGCAACCAGGTTGGAGATTTTCCAGATTTGTTTTCCGATCATTTGTGTGGCACCTTCCAGAGCAGCAGTGCATGTAACGGGGCTGGAACAGTGGATCCCTCATCGCAGAGGCCATATGGCCAGGGGCAGTTACAGTCCTTCTCACCCAATGCATCTTCAACACAACTTCAAACTGTGCAAGTGAAGGTATCCCAGCCAGCCACTGCAACACCTGTTCCTCCACGTTCTGCACCCCCTCTTCAGCCTCGTCCCCAGGTTCAGCCACAACTTCAGCAACAGACGGTTATGATTACTCCAACTTTCAGCTCTGCTCCCCAAACCCGGATCATTCAGCAGCCTGTAATCTACCAAAATGCAGCTACAAGTTTTCAAGGTAACTGTCAGGGATTTGTTGGTAGCTGTTGGAAACGCCCTGCTGATACCTTCAAAGCTAACAGTGGGCAGGTTTGCACAACGCTTTAAACCCTGGCTGGCTTTTAGCTACCTGGGCTTAAATAGCCTGGGGTCCTCACTCTGTCAACATACAGTTGGGTTCACTGGGGGTCCTGAAGTACCTCCTCTCTTAACCCATGAATCCTCCCACTGGTGTCCCAGGTGATGCACAAGCAGCTGTCAGAGGGCCTCTGCTGTTGATTCCGACAGAGAGAAGTTGCTTGGCAAGCCCTCTCTGCTAGGAGCAGTAGCATTGGTTCTCTTGGCACTGTCTCTGGTTACACCCAGTGACTATATCGCCTCTTTCCCCCATCTGCTATATGGATTGCCTCATGGGGTGATCAGGGAAGTGATTGTGTTCTCCTGGCCCTTGTGGGGCTTCTGAAGGTGGCAAGCATTGAGAGAGAAGTTGCAGACATGTGGCCAGTAGTTTTCATCAGTGTTCACTGGGAGCTGCTTGGCTGGAGCGGTACAGGAATTGTGCTGCTTTGGCAAAGTGGCTCTCTTGTTGTGAGTCTTGGCTGCCCAGGGGTCATGTTGTCTACATTCATTTAACACAGCTTGGCAGCTTAGGCAAATGCCACAGCAATCCCTGGCCTGTCAGCATGGTTTGTATGCTGAACTTAAGCCACCCTGACAGCAGCAACCCAGCTTCAGCCCAGACATTGTCTAGAGAAGCAGCTGTATACAGAATCACCATTTCATTCTCCAACTTTATTAAATTTAAGATGTTATTTATTTTCCAGCTGCAAACAAAATAAAACGTTACATCAAGTCTAATTGTTGAAAGATGGTAGTTCACTTAATAAATATTCCCCTACACACACACACAGGTAAAAATGGTTGGAATCCATTGGCTGCTTGGAAATTGCCATTATTATATAGTATAGTTTTGTCCTATTCTGTGTTTGCAGCCTCTCTAGCTGTTTGAGCTTCCTGGAAAACTCCCTAGAGGAAAATGTGGTGCAGTAGTTATAGTGTTGGGCTTGGGAACCCAGGAGATCCAGGTTCTAGTCCCCACTTGGCCGTGAAGCTTACCTGGTTGATTTTAGGCCAGTCAAGGACTTTCAGTTTAACCTATTTCAGAGGTTTGTTGAGAGGATAAAATCAAGCTTTGTAAGCCACTTTGGGTTTCTCACAAAAGGCAGGATATAAATGGAATGTAATGGCGGCAATGGCAACAAATTATATTTCAGGCACAATTCCTTGCATGTTTGAATATGCATACAATTGAGTCCATAGTCACTTTCATAATCTGAAGAAAGGTTTTGATGGGTGCTGTTGCATAAGACCTTGATTTGTATGTGAAATAAAATCATGTCATATTTTAACTTTGTCTTTAGTCAATTTAACTTGTTAAATTTGCTTGGATCTAGTAGGAATCCAAAAATAGTTGCAGGTTGTGAACATAAACATATATTTCACAATAATTATTCTATTTTTATATAGTTATCCTGCCAACATAAGACCCTCAGGGCTGCTTAGATTATACATAGTCTAATGCTGCCAAAAGGAAACATTAGAGAAAAACTTTTAGCACTTATATGTGGGTACGTGGACCACTAATCATGCCCAATTACCAGATATCCCAGCTTGGTAACATAATGAAAGCTGTTACTAGGGTGGATTTGATTAAATCACTAGTCAGTAAGACTTGATTTAAATCATAGTTTTCTACATAATTTGCATGCATGCCTGCCTTAGGTAGAGGAACTTCATTAAAATATTCCTAACCTGGATGCCTTTTATGGCTTGCTGCAATTATAGGTTTTCTCCTCCAGGGAAAGAATAATATGATAAACCTCAGGCTATACAGAAGAAGATCCAAACACTTGTGGAGTATTCTGTTCAAAAGATTTCTTTTTCATTTGTACTGCTTGCCCCTGCCTCCTCACACTTAACTTCTTATGCAGATCTATTCCACTCCCAATAGTCTTCTGTTCACTGAATTTTTTGAAACTTAGCACTGAAGAGGTACGGGGTTGATTCTGTGTACATAGACTTGCAAAGGAACAGTGGGATTAAGGCCTTTTTCTCAACTCTGTATGTTTATTTTATAACATTTTTGCTGTGAAGAAGAGGCATGTGATCTCTGCAGACACAAATTCACAGTTTTCAGAACTGTAAAACCAAACATCTATGGGAATATCTTATAGCTAGAAAAATTGTCCAATCTTACAGAAACCTCTGGAAGAATATGACATTGTGAATGGATTAATGGAATTCATTTACCAAAAAATGCAAACATTGTATGAATATACAGACCCGTGCTACATAATTAACAATTAATCCTTATTTCATGCCAAATAACCTTTGGACTAGCTATCCATAGATAGATTTTTTCCCTTCAAAAATCTTTTTATTAAAAAAATTCAATTTAAATTTTAAAAATCCAGTTTTTTAATTTAAAAGATCACTGATTTTTATCTACCCTGGCTGTTATCTTCCTTCAGTAAGAATGTTTAGGCAGTCCCTCACATTTTGCTTGTTTTGTTTTTAGTGCTGCAGCCCCAGGTTCAGAGCCTGGTGACTTCCTCCCAAGTTCAACCACTCACCATCCAGCAGCAGGTGCAGACCATGCAGGCTCAGAGGGTGTTGACACAGACCGCCAATGGCACCATCCAGACACTGACCCCAGCCACAGTCCAGGCAGTAGCTGCCCCACAAGTCCAGCAGGTTCCAGTAAGTGATTTTAAGATGTAATATTTTGGTGGGGAGGATTGACTATTTATTTATATAAATATGCACACTTACATAGTTAACTGCTATGTTTCTATCCTGCCTTTTTGCCTCTTGCAAGGAAGTCAAAGCAGATTACATGGTCCTGCTCCTCTCTACTCTATCCTCAAAACAATCAAGTGAGGTAGGTTAGGCTAAGAGTAAGCAGCAGCCCCAAGGTCAACCAGTAAGCTTCATTACTGAGTGGGGATTTGAGCTGAGATATCCCAAGTGTCAGTCCAACATTCAAACCATTACACTGCAATTGCAATCTGTACTTCAGAGACAAGTATGTTTATATAATGACTTCTCTTTCAATTCCAAATCACCTTTCCACCTTTCACTGCTGGCACAGAAGCTCCCCAAATGTAGGTTATTATTGGAGTAAACTGAATTGGTGCAGCCATAGAAAAACAGATGGCCATGACTGAGTTTGGAAGAAAGGTGTTTTGGAAAAAACAGTCAGCTTCTCCAAATGGCTAATTTAAGAATTGTAGAGCTGTGCAATTTTTAATAGATGGATTGCCTCTGTAAAAGAAGCCAGCCTTGAATTTTAGAACAGCTAAGCAGGGATGTCATGGATAGGACATTTTGGAGGGCTATCATTCATGGGGTTGCCATAAGTCAGGGATGACTTGATGGCACATAAGAGCAACAGAGCTATACTTGCAACATCCCACAACATTTTGATTCAGCATTTGATATGTTGTAATGTACCACGTTTTGTGCTGGAAACGGGGCATCAGAAATGACAAATTAATACTAATATCATGTCAGAAAGCCAGTAGGGCTAGAGCTTGATCTTTGTACAGAAACAGGTGCAATCAGGATGATGCACTTGAAGCTGAAACGGAAGTGGGGCTCCAGTATTAGCTGCAATATTATTATGTTTGCTTTCTTTGTTGTACTAAACTTTACAGTCTTTTCTCCTTCCAGGTCCTTGTCCAACCACAGATAATCAAGACAGATTCTCTTGTTCTAACAACACTGAAAGCTGATGGTAATCCCGTCATGGCTGCAGTTCAGAATCCAGCCCTCACAACATTGACCACACCTATTCAGACAACTGCTCTGCAGGTACTGTAGAGTGCCGTGCTTTATTTTTCCTGACTTTCTCTTCCCCCTCTTGCTTTTTGGTTTCCTTCTCATAAGGACTGTTCAAAGTCCATGAGGACTTAGGGCCTCTAGACTGTCTAGATGGCCATAGGAGTGGTTGGCATCCCAGCTTGGGCCTCAGAAACATGTCCCAGGGTTGGAGCTGGGGCTCCAGCACCCTCCCTCCATCTTTGCAGTTGATGCAGAAAGAGCCTTGAAGCCTGTGGCGCCAAAGCTGCAATACTAAAGTTGGAGCTGGAAGTCTGTGGGCATTCTTGGGGGACCTTTTGGGTAGGTCAGAAGTTCCACCATCATATGTAGTATCCTGATGGTGCCTCAGCCTGTCATCTTCATGCTGTAGCCCAAAAGACTTAAAACAGCTGAAATTGGTTGTTTAAGTTTTTGCATGGTGGGAGGGGTGTGGTGGTGATCTTTGATAGGACGTCCCTATCCTCCAGGTTTGGAGGGTTAGCAGCAGCCCCATTGGAATGGATTGCTTGAGTCTTACAGTATGTCTGTCTTTGAAAGAAGACCATAGTGTGGCAAAGGTGTGGCTATTGCACTCGTTGATCCTTCATCCTTTCTTGAAGAAAATTTCAGAATTCCTGTAGATGCATATACTGTAATAAGTTCAGGGAGATGGGTCAGGATACCTGTTTTAGTCTGCTATGGCAAAAACAGACAGGAATCTTAGGTGGCAGTTTCACGTCCAATGACTTGGGTATTTGCTTTCATACAGTACAGTCTGCTTCATCAGATGTAACATTATTGTGGATATCTATACTAGTTTTCATTGTGATTCACCAGAATGACTGTATATCTATAACATTAAGTAAGATAAGAGGATGACCTTAGAACAGTGATGGCGAACCTTTTAGAGACTTGAGTGCCCAAACTGCAACCCAAAACCAACTTATTTATCACAAAGTGCCAACACTACAATAAAACCTGAAAATTGCGATTTTAGTTTAGAAAAAACAGCTCACAGCCAGTCCAAGCAAATGTATATGTATATCCTTGGCATCACCCCTAGCCCTAATACAGGGGTAAAATACCATCAAAAGGGGCGATTTTGAAAAAGCCTTCCTTGAGTAGCTTTTTCTGCACAGCTTATCATTCTGCCCATTCGAAACACATTCCAACCATCAAAATCATGCCAGGGCACCTCGTTTTTCTAACCCTAACCCAGTGATGATGAACCTTTTAGAGACCGAGTGCCCAAACTGCAACTCAAAACCCACTTATTTATCTCAAAGTGCCAACACTGCAATAAAACCTGAAAACAGCCCATCCAAGCAAATGTGTGTGTATATATCTATATCCCTGGCAGTGCACTTACCAGCCATGTGAAAGCTCAGATGAGTCGCAGCTAATGTGTTGTGGCTTGTGCTGTCATTGCCTGGCACTAGCACTCCTTTCCGAGCATGCACATGGCTCCTATGTGCACTGTTGTCCAGTGCTCAGCTGCTGGGGCGATGCTGGGCTGCTGTGGCACACGTGCCATAGGTTTGCCACCACTGCCTTAGAAACTGAGTCATTTTAGAAGTAAGTCTCAATATTATGGAAAAGTGTATGGGTCTGCTCAGAGCTGACTTAAGCTAATAGCTTGTCTTCCTCAAGCATAATGTTCTAGCTTTTCACATTCTTGGCTTACTATACTAAGTGGAAGAAAAAGACCCAAGGGCACATTCCTATTTATCTTGCTTGGGTATTAGGAATGTGACTTCCTTTTCTTTCTCAAAGGGTTTATTTACTTAAAATGATAAGTTAGCATATTTTAGAAAGTGAGGTGTGGTATGTGTTGAGCAAAATAGTCTTTTTAGTAGATGTACACTGATAGGGAGTACCTGATAGGGACACCAGGCAAAGACTTTTTATTGTTATTTTCCCCAAGTCTTTTACATCACATTGTAGATTTTAATCCTGCCACACCTTTGCTTTCTCTCTCTTTCTCTCTCTCTTTATATTTTATTTTCTTGTCTCGATCTTATCTGTGAACAATTTTACAGATAACATTGTATTGGATATAATTTTGTTGGAGAGGTCCATGATGTTTATGGTAATGCTGGATTCTCATATCAAAGGAATGCATTTCATTCACAGCAAATATGGTAATATATGCTGTGTTGTGTTTTGGAAAGACAGTTAAAGTGGAGAAATAGGGTTTGGTTTGTCCCCACCCAATAATTAGTCTGATGGATCTTTCAGCCTGATCAAAGCTTTTATGCTGCGGTATAGTTTGTTTCCTCTTCAGATTCTGAAAGCAGTTCATTTGCCCAGTATGTAAGAGAGTATAGGCAGATGGACAGTAATAAGAAAAATTATTTGAGCCAGAAGGAAACTTGTTCCCTTGTATCATTTTTATCTGGAACTACTGATGTGATACTTGGGGAAAAGCAGTGCAATAGTCACTTATTCCTACATAGTGTATTAGTAATCCAGGGAAGTGTTCAGGCATTCTTACGCATTCTTAAGAGCAGTGCTTTTTGTGTAAAAAAAAAAAGAAAAAGAAAGGTGCCGGAACTCACGTCTTGGGGTCACACTTTTACACAATGGTTGCTGCCGGCAGTAAGCACTCAGCGCGCAACCACACGACTGATCCCAAGCCGAGCAGCGCCCTCACAATCAGCACCGACAATCAGCGCCGACACACAAGCAGACACTATGTTAATGATTTCTGCCGCCGATCTGCTACACCCAACAGGGCGATTCACAATCACTTGGAAAAATCCATCAAAAAATGTACCGGAACACTGTTTCGGTGCGTTCTATGACAAAAAAAGCCCTGCTTAAGAGTATATGAAGATCTACTGCACTGAATCAAATTACAGGTTTTTCTAGTTCTGTATAGCATACTGTGAGAGACAGTGGCTTTCCAGGGTCCTGGGTAATGGATAGCTTCTGTCCCGACTGCCTGAGAATTTTTAAACAGAGTTTCAGGGGAGTAACTCAGAAATAGTACGCCTGCAAAGCATGAGCTCTTTTACTTAAGTGTAGAAGAGTTCTTCTACATTCTTTTATTTCTTACTATCAAACAAACGCACCTTCACATGAGTTGGAATAGTCCTCAGTTTGACACAGTAAAGTCTTCAAGGAAATTTACTTTGCTGACAGATTTGGACACATTGTGCTGTCGAAGTTGAAGCCATGCCTGCGGGCATCCCTAGGCAGCTCCAGCAATGGTATACCCCGTAGTTCCTTGAGGATGGAGACTGCCCACACTATTTCCCTCAAGTGGGACTTCCCTGCGGTAGAAGGGAGGGAGCAGGTGCATAACTTTGTTACTTATTCTACTAATCATCTCTGCCTTCAAACTGAATGGATTTAGAATACATGTCAAGTTTTGGATATCTGGGATTCATAGTCTTGGTACTGTTTCTGGCAGGCCTTCTCTTTTCTTATTATAAATAAACTTTTATTAAGTGTGTGTGTTTGTATAAAGCATAGCTGAAGCTCTGTGCATGGTTCTTAGCATAAAGCTTAGTGCTCTATTTTTATAATGACACAATAAAACCTAATGTAAAAAATGAAAAAGTTTACATTAAAAGTTTTAAAACAGAATAAAATCAAAGTAAAAATATTATCAGTCCAGGATAAAGAGAGCACTGACATCTTTAAAAAAATTCAGAATGTTTAATATGGTTTGCAAATTGTGCTGAAAAGACTGCATTGTGGGCACTAAGTGAGCCTGTCTGGTGAGCTTCTTTTATGGTCATTTGGTCCTTTAATTGTGAAATAAATTTCTGTCTTGCTCATTGTTGTTGCCTCTTCAGACTTTAGTTGGTGGCAGTGGAACCATCTTGACCACAATGCCCATGATGATGGGAGGGCAGGAGAAGATGTCTATCAAACAGGTACCTGGGGGTGCCAAGCAGCCAGAACCTCCAAAGGAAGGAGAGAGACGAACAACCCATAATATTATTGAGAAACGATATCGATCATCAATAAATGACAAGATCATAGAACTAAAAGATCTTGTTATGGGAACAGATGCCAAGGTAAGAGTTACTTAGTGACTGAAAAGCAAGAAGATGGTTGTGATCACAAACCCTGTTGGCATTCTCTGATTTTTAGGTCATTAGCTATTGCTTAATCAGTATGGAAATTTGGACTGTGATAAATGCCAAAAACATATGAATTAGTTTTACTTTCCTGCATTTCTTAATAATTGTGTTACATTATGCAATATCTTTTGCTTTTCCTTCTGCCCTTCTCGAAGGCAAGTACAAGGACATCCCCTTTGCTGAAAGTCGTTGCACTTGTCCGATGAGAGGTTTAGACCTTGGAACTTATGTTTTTTTTCATGTCCATATTACAAACAGGCATGTAATGAGCTCATTATTCCGCTCTTTTGGAATAATCTGATTCTTTCTGAAAAAGCTGAACTTGAGTTTCTTCTATCAGATAAAGCGGTTAAGATCACATATCAAGTAGCAAGTTTCTGCAGGGAAATACTCAGGTTAAGAAAATGTTGTGCTATTTAGTTATAACTCTATCTATTGTATACATTTAAATTGTAGCAACTTTCAACAAAGGAATTTATTAGCATTACCATTATGTACATGTTTGTGGCATTATGTGTTTTAGTTATGCAGCCTAGGTTATTTTAATTTTTAGGATCCATTATTTGCCTTTTTGTCTTTTAGTTCATTTTAAATAGTTATTGTAATTGGGGTAATGGAAAAGCATTGTTTAATCCATTATGTTAGCCCATGTTGGTTTATGTTTTTCTGTGTAATGAATAAAAATTAATAAAATAAATATCTTTAATGTTGCATTTATTTTGCAGATGCACAAATCTGGTGTACTGAGGAAGGCCATTGACTACATTAAATATCTGCAGCAGGTTAACCATAAGCTAAGACAGGAGAACATGGTCCTGAAGTTGGCTAGCCAGAAAAACAGTTAAGTATTTTAAGCAGGTGATGAAAATGTGATTCAGGAAGTCTTCTTTACCCCCTCCCATACTATTCAAAGAGGTATATTATTGGTTGCTCATGTTTTTGTGGGTAAAATGAAGGAGAGCATGGGAGGGTGTGAAGGTAGAAGGTACTGGATAGACAGCATTGTGAATGTGCATGTCTCATTTTTGCAATCTCTGATCTTTACAGAGTTGTTGAAGGGTTTTGACCTAAGCAGTTTAGTGGACAATGATGTGGATCTGAAGATAGATGACTTCAACCAAAATGCTCTGATGATGTCTCCTCCAGCTTCTGACTCAGGGTCACCAGCAGATTATTCTCCATATTCAATTGATTCGGAGCCAGGAAGCCCATTGTTGGATGATGCAAAGGCAGTTAAGTCGTAAAGCATTCTGCACTGGAAAGTGCATGCAGTGGTTGCATGTTACTTAGGATAAAGATCCTAATGGTGGTGTACATGCAGGCTAAGACAGAGACTTGCTCATGTGTTTGGCATTAAGGATACTGTAGTGAAATTACTTGTACAGTTTTAGAGAAAGCTGTTACTCAGAAGATTCATCAAGCAGTTTCATGGAATTATCACCAATTGCCAGGTTAGGTTTTCAAAGTCTTATAGCAATTCTAATATAAGACTTGGTTCCACAGAAGTTTTAATTAAAAAGCTTAAGGTAACACAAATATTTCATCCTCCCCAGTTTTTTTTCAATGGGAACACAAAAAGAAATAATAATTGTGTGCACATTTTATGGCCTTAATGTGATCACCTGTAGCAATAACACCAGTTTACTAGTGAATCGATCCATTATCCCTTAAAAAGCAGTTTAGGTAGGATCTGCCTCAACAGTATTTGAAGTGAGAAAAATTGTGATGAATTGTAAATATTTAAATTATTAAATATTCTTATAAATTCACCTCATGTGGATAAATACAACCATAGAATTCCTTCTGTTAGAAAATTAACTGTGCCTCCTCCTGAGGCTACAAAAGCTAGAGGGCAGGTTTGCATGTGTTGAACTGTGATGTTGTATGTATCTGAGCTACACTAACAAACCATGGCTTGTTAACCATGGGCAGTTCATGACAAACTGGGTTCTTCTCATGGGTTGTTCATGATTAAACCATGGTTTGCAAGGGCAGCTGGATTTACATAACACAACAATTCACAATTAACCTACAACTTGCTTTCAAACCATACTTCCAATATGGATCATTTATTGTGTAATCCCAGCAGGTGTAACTTTGATCTCATGAGGCTGGGGATGATCTCTTATCCTCAGTCTTTCATAACTCTCTTTCTCATTCCCTGTGTTCCTCTCCTCTACTGTCATTATCTAGGTTAAAGATGAACCTGACTCTCCACCTGTTGCTCTTGGAATGGTTGACCGCTCCCGCATGCTGCTTTGTGCTCTTACGTTCCTCTGTCTGTCCTTCAATCCTCTAACATCCCTCCTGGAGGGCCAAAGGACATCTGATTCTGATGGTTCTGTACGTCATAGCTCTGGGAGGAGCATACTGACAATAGATTCAGGTACTCTCAGGAACTCAAAATATAAGTCCACTCCAGTGATGCTGGGTTTCAGTGATTCTAATCTTTTAAGAATCAGGTTTAATAGCTGAAAATGAATTGTTAGTAATGACAAAGGGAAATTAGTTGCAATCCTCATTGGATATTTTATCAGTTGGGTAGTAAGAAATGTGTATGTGTTTTGCATACAGCAATGATTTGATTCTTGCTATGATATACTATAAAGGATTGTACACAGCAGTCCTATGCACATTGACCTAGGAATATGTCCTATAGTGTCATAAGACATAACTAAGGAAAGTTATAACTAAAGGAAATTCATTCCCAGGCAAATCTGCTAAAAATTGAAGTCTAAGGCTGGAATCCAGTTCCAGTTTACCTAAGAATAAGCCTTATTGCACTGAATGGTACTTTTTTCTGAGTAGGCATGTATAGGATTTCACTGTGAGGCTGTTGTGAGATTTATTCAATAATTAAAAAGCCCTCCTCACAAACTCTTAAGTAAATTGAAGGTATTATAGGATTCCTGCAAAATAGCCCAGTACATTGCACTGTGGTATATGGTACTGTAGTACAGTGACATATTTTAGTGCAGTTCAGCTGTATTGAGTAAATTTATCTTCAGCTGAGGTGTCAAGTTGAACTGTATTACCCATTTTGAACATGTGTGCTCTTTCTCTCTCTGTTTCTCTCTGTCTCATACACACATACTGGAAAGAACCTTGTCACAGTTCTCCCCTTTGATTGTGTGTGTGACCTTAAATGTTGTTTAGCTTTATTTATTTATTTTATTAAAACATTTTTGCACTGTGCTTCAGTTCAAGATTTCCAGAAGGATCTAAAATAACTAACTAGGCAGCCATAGGTGGGAAGCAAGGAGCACATCAGAAGTTAAGAACCCATGAAAATAAGAAGGGCTTTTTTGCTAGCTGTCTGAAAGACATTAGTATAGGCTCAATGTAACTATTTCAGGTGAGAAAGTTCCACAGAAGAGGCAGCATGGACAAATAGGCAACTTATTTGTCCATGCTGGCCAGGGCGACTTATTTTATATTGCTAATTTGTATGTATATTTGAATGTTTTATATTTTAATTTTATGTTGTGAGCTGCCCCGAGGCTTCGGCGAATGGGGCGGCATGGAAATAACTTAGTGTTGGGGCAGCTTTATGCTTTTATTGCCTTAAAGAGTCACTTGATTATGCCCAGAAGACTTGGTACTTGTGCATTCCTCAGGTAAGAAAAACATCAGCAAGCCTCTAACTTTGTTTGCTTAGACTTCCAAAACAGATTGAGCAAAGAGTAAAATCTAGAATCTCAATTCTAACCATGTATCTTCCCTTGGGCTCAAGGACTAAAGGAGACCTTTGCTCAAGGCCTACATATAAGCAAGTTCGCACTGCTTCTTCACACAGTTAAGACTGACCTCAGCTTGATTATCCTAAAAGGTAACTGCTGCTTCTTGTCTTGTTTGTGTATTTCTTGGCATCATTAATTGTCTTCTTTCTGGTAGGCTCTGGTGGCTGGTTTGGCTGGATGATGCCCACTCTGATCTTATGGCTTGTGAACGGTGTTATTGTTCTGAGTGTATGCTTAAAATTGCTAGTTCACGGAGAGCCAGTGACCCGACTGCACTCCCGCTCATCGGTGACCTTCTGGCGACATCGGAAACAGGCAGACCTGGATTTGGCCAAGGTAAGTCTGAAGGCAGATTTTATTCCTTCCCCATTTGTTTTCTGGGGCTAGTTTGAGCTCATCCAAAAATGCATTTGCTCAAGAACTAGCAGCTCAAAAGGCAGAGTAGATTCTTAAAGATGCTGTGCCTTTGGGATCACATCCAGTTGTCCTTTCTGTTGAAAGGATTGTGTGGTGAAGGACTCTGGCTGTTTTAGTTCCTTGTTCTTCCATTCATCATCTGTGTGATTATCCTCCAATTTAGCTATGTAAAATTAGTGTGGTTATTTGCCAAAGGCCTTGGATAAGATTGAATTTTGTAATTAAAACTGACTGATCAAGAAAGAGAGCTTGAGGCTGTGGTAGATAGCTTAATGAAAATGTTAACACAATGTGTGGCTACTGTAACACGCCCCCTGCCCAATCCCACATACACCAATTGCTGTAGAGAAGACTGTGTCCTCCATATGATACAGCATATTCTAGCTGCAGCTGCCATTCTTTTCTGATGTATGCTCTATGCCTAGATGGATGAAATTGGCTGCTTAGCTGATGTGCAGGGCAGGAAGAATGCAAAAATGAAGATTGCCTCGATAGTCATTCTGTTGTGCATATAAGATAATATCTTCCATGTTTGGAGGTTATGGGCAGCCTAGTTGGGTTGCTTCCAAAATAGGTTAATGCATGCTTGAGATCAAAGATGAAAATAATCCTGGAAAGGTTAATTTGGCATGCCTAGTAAGAGAGAAAAGCTGTTTCTGTGGCTCTTTTGAAATGAATTTGAATGTGAAACAAAAGCTATTCTCCTTTTGAGTTAAATGGTGTATTTTATATGTAAATACTAATTATTTTAAATAAAACAGAATAAATTATTTCTATACAGTTATTTTTACTATTCTTTTTTTACTTTACCCAGTTAAAAATATAAAACAATATTTAGTGAATCAGCCAAACTTATGCACTTAAGTTCTGCTGATTTCATTCTGGGGAACTGATGCATATGCTTAATTATTGCATTAAAGTAAATTAGATTGAAAAGTGTTTAACTTGAGCTGGCTTGATTATAGCATTCCAGACTGGGTTAATATGAATGAATGTGGGAGAATAGCGAGATATATTATACATTGAAGCATGCTGTTCAGACAAGAATGATGGCATTCATCAGATTTTTAATTGGCTTAGAAGCAAATGTTGGATAACTGAAGTCTCTGGTACCTGAAGTAGAAGGGGCTCACCAAAAAGAAACAGCAGAGCTTAAGAATTTTTGAAACAGAGAGAACAAAGATTGTATATCCAAAGCTATGCTGTGATGATTGTGTTTGAGTGAGTTTGTTCCCCGCAGACATTCAAGTGGTATTTGAAATGACTTGGATTCTCAGAAGTCCTCTCTGCAAGTACACCTTTTCTGTTTACTTCCTTTGTGTGCAGGGTGATTTTGCAGCAGCTGCATCAAACTTGCAGACTTGCTTATCTGCCCTGGGTCGAGCACTTCCTGCCTCTCGATTGGACTTGGCCTGCAGCCTGTCCTGGAATGTCATTCGCTACAGTCTCCAAAAATTGGGACTGGTTCGCTGGTTACTGAAAAGGACATCACGGCAGAGACGAGCATCAGAGGCCCCTGTGGGTTTTGAGGATGAAGCCAAAACAAGTGCTCGTGATGCAGCTTTAGCATATCATAAGCTCCATCAGCTCCATATTACAGGTAAGGAGAAAAGGGAGAAAGGAAGGGCCAGGTGGCAGCTTCTTACTGCCTTCCCACCAAGTTTGCATTTTAATAGCTGGTAGGGCTTTCCTGGAAAAAGCCATATGGGGGCATTGTACAGGATGCATCTTGGCATGCCCCAGGTAATGTTATGAAGGAGGTTTTTCTTTGTGTCATCTGATTCCTGATGCAGGGAAGCTTCCTTCCAGTTCAGCCTACTCAGGATTGCACATGGCCCTGTGTGCAGTGAATCTGGCTGAATGTGCAGAGGAAAAGATTCCACCAAGCACACTGGCGGAGATTCACCTGACTGCTGCAGTTGGCCTGAAGACTCGCTGTGGTGGCAAGCTAGGCTTCCTGGCGGTGAGTGAATTTTTCAAGCCTCCCAGTAGAATTAGATCCAGTAAAGTTGTGTGGCATATTTAAACTGAAGTTTTGGGTTCGTGTGAAAGAAAGGTGCATAATTAATTTTACCACTGTTCTTGACCCAAATGCGTGCATCTTTTATTCAGCTTAGTTTTACCTTAGTGACTGATTTCTTTGCAGAGTTATTTCTTAAGTCAAGCCCAGAGCTTGTGTAGTTCTGAACGCAGTGCCATTCCTGACTCCTTACGCTGGCTGTGTCACCCATTGGGACAAAAATTTTTTGTGGAGCGGAGCTGGACGGTCAAAGTTGCTGCTAAGGAAAGCCTATATTGCACTCAGAGGAACCCAGGTGAGAGCCAGCAGGCTTGTGAATGGCTTTCCCTGAAGCTTCTCACCGCTGGTGTGGGATGGTGCTATTTTCTCATTTTCCAGCCAACTTTGTTACAGGCTTTTTCCTGAAAGTGCTTCTTGCTGAAAGAACTTCCTCAATCAAATCAGTAGTCATGGGGAAATTGTCCTATATGCTGGGATTTGTCCTACAAGGTGGTGATCTGTCTAAAAACTTGCAGTGAGAAAGGTTTGTATATGATTGCATCTGAAGGGTGCCCCCGTATTACCAAGTTTGGGGAACAAGTTTGGTAGCTTTTAATTTCCCAAGGTGTTTTGGGGATGTCTTCACCAGGTTCGTTCATTACATTTGCAGCCCTATTGGGTTCTCTCTGCATTGTTATTGTGAATAAAGAAAAAGCAAGTTGATCATTTTGTCATCTGCAGCTGATCCCATTGCACAGGTGCACCAGGCATTCTGTGAGAACCTGCTGGAGAGAGCTGTTGAATCGCTGGTGAAACCTCAAATCCCAAAGGGTGCTACAGGCCATGATGATGAAGAGCCCTGGTAAGCTGCAATAATGCCCATTTGGCCTTTTTTGCACTGAACTAAGCTTGTTGAGTCTGTTTGTCTGCTAGGCCAGTCGCTGTAGCCCAGTGCAGGAGGTGAGGTTGCAGTACAGATTTCCAGTCCTTTCCTCTTTCTTTTTTTCAGTTAGGAGTAGTATGGTCCACTGTGCAATCTGTAGGTCACATTCTCAGAAATTTGAAGTCATTTTAATTCATTGAAGATTGTTTTCAGTTTCTCTAGTGCCAAAGCCCAAATTCGGTAAACAACTGATAAATGAATTACAGAAGACAGAACTGTGTTGGCACATCTTGAAATAGTAAGAACCTCTACCCATTAAGGGAATTTCCTTGGTCAGCTTGACCAGTTCAATTAGTAAACTATTTCTATTTGGAAATGAGTCACAAAAAGGTACTTGGTGTGGACTGGGGAGAGTTCTGTGGTAAAAGCACAGCTCCCTGTCAGAAGTGGCTTGCAAGTGTTATAGCTGTTCTCAGTGGAAAGAGGGCTGGCAGCAAGCTGTCATTCTAGGCCAGTGAACTCTGCACCAGTCATCCTTGCTGAGTATGTTGAATTACACATATTAAAGTGTGATTCATTGTAGGAACTTGTTGCATGATCTTACCTAGTAAAAGTCTTCTGCTTCACTTGTAGTGAATTCTCTAATGCTTCGGAATACCTGAAGTTACTCAATTCTTTTGTGGACTCTTTGGGAAGTGGAACACCATCTTTCATTGGCAATTCTGTTTTGAGGTCTGCCCTGGGTGAGTGTGAAAAATGCTCAGACCTACTCAATGTTTTCCATATTTCTCTTCCCCATTCGCTTTCATCCCAAGTAGCAGTGAATATTCAGTTATCAAGCTGTTGGGACTTCCATTTGTTAGAGTCTTGTAGCTCATGTTTCGTCTCTGCATATATAGGTCCTGATGTGGTCTGCAGGTGGTGGTCATCAGCGATCACTATGACAATCAGCTGGCTTAAGGGTGACAATACAGCTCTGAGATCCCAGTTTACCAATGTGGAGCGAATCCCTAAGTGCTTGGAGATGATGGAGTATGTGGTCTTTTTATGTTATTCTCAAAACTCATTCATTCTGCTCTGGACCTGAATGGTACAAGGCTCAAGCAGAAAGTTCTTTGTGCGTGGCATGCATTCATGGTCATAATCATTTGGCTTAGCTGAATCTAGTGCTGGCCTCTTCAGTGAGTTTCAGAACTGGAACTTTCATCACTGTATTATCCAGATACAACATGGTGGATGCAAGGAAGCTCTTGCTAGTCTTTATTGGCGCTGTGGTCCTCCCCTTATATGTCTCATTCATATTAATGCTTTGGGATAGTGCTGGAAATAGCAGCAACATCCATCACTGTAGTAGCTGCTTAGTTATTCATGGTGTACAAGGTAGAGCAGAATCAAGTTATTCTTTAATAATCAGAATGCCTGGAATTGCTTCCCATGTCGCATTTAATATGGATTAATGCTGTAAATCCATTTTTCACAATGTGGATTGGCTACAATTCTCCTGCCATACATTTGCTTCCACTTAATATGTAAAACAACTCTTGGCTTGTGCATTTCAGTGCCTATCTCCACCTGCCCCAGTTTATTAAATTGTTTCTCTTGTGTTTCATAGGCGTTATTTCCAGGTTTAGATAACAGATTGAAGTCCTTGAGTTGGGGGCTAGAGGAGTGGTCATTGACTTGGTTTGTTCAATAATATTTTAAGCCTTAGTTAGTGAAGGGCTTTATATAGTGAAGCTGTAGGAGGTGCCATTTTTCCAAAGCAGGGTTGATCTAAATCCCTAAAGGCACTGACTGTGTTCCTGGATATGTTCTCTCCCCACCCCTTTACCCATAGGAATGCCCTTGTGAAAGCTGTCTTCCATGTGTGCAAAGCCATGCATGCCTCCTTGTCAAGCAAGGCCGATGGGCAACAGAGCTCCTTTGGCCATTGTGAAAGAGCCAGCACTCATCTTTGGAACAGCCTCAACATGAGCAGTGGGGTCTCTAGCACAGGTCTTAATGAAGTAAGTGCAGCCTCTTTGTTCCTGCTGGAATCATGTGCTGTTTAAAACTCTACCAGTCATCTGTCTGTCTGAAGGGTGGCTTTTGAAAAAAATCCCCTTGGGGCTGAAGAAACAGATCCCCCCTCCCTTTTTCATGATTGGAGAAAGAAGATTCCTTCTCTTCTTGCTTCCTGCATGAGTGCCTAGAGCAGCAGAGGAATGCATCTATTTCTAGTGCATTAGTTTTGCCATGATGAGTAGGATGAACACTTGTCTGATTATTTCCTTGTTCCCTTTAATAATGGCTCTTGAGTGAATTGTTCTCACAGATATCTCCTTGCCTAGCCTTCTGTGGCTAAGAACAATGCTAAATCTTTGTATCAGGGAGCCAACTGATTTGTCATATCTTTGTTTTCAATGCTATGTGCAGCTTGGACTTTCCAAGCTCTGGCACTGAGACAGTAAGTTCAAGCCCCTTGTTCATCACTGCTGGGTGGCAGCTGTAGTGCATTGTAGTTGCATTGCATGTTCTGGCTGTACTTGTGCAATGTTTCTGCAGTGCAGTACAGAGGCATGCCTTATTTCTGCACTACAGTTGGAATCTCCTGGGCTTGCCTGGATTGAACACTGAGCTTTTGGGATTCAGAGATTTAGGTGTTTGGTAGTCATGTCTTAGGGATTTTGAATCCAGACTGGAAGGAGCCAAGAGGCCATTGAATGAAGCCCTCTGCCCAAGGGCTGAACTGTTCATTCACCAGTATCCTATAGATGAATCTGCACAATCCAGACCACAGTGTACTACAGGCAGAGACCAAGTGCATAGGCTTAAAAGGTTCAGGGGAGCTATATATGGCAAGGGAAGGAAAGGTCAAGTGTACACACTCAAAATAGGCCCATCATGGTGTTAAACTGTTCTGCTTAATAAGCACATTCCTGCCACCAGAGGGCACACTAAGTTAATAGTTTGTGGATATTTCTCTGCTCTCTTGCTTTTTGTTTACTCAAGATCTTACTGCTTTTTATTTCTGGGTAATTATTAGGACTTCCCTCTCTAGGATATATTCTTGAGCTTACCTTATTGTTGTAGGAACTGTCAAGGTGGCTAAATATTGTGCAGATCTGATGATTTTCCCTCTCCATATTAAATTGAATTTCTGGACTGCATGTCAGAGGATGTTTCATTCCCAGTTAATTCAGTGTGATCTCAGTATTACATCATCTAGTTTACATTTCCATTTCATTCTAGAAAATCATGATCAAAGCATTCAGTAAACAAAAGCAATGAACAAAGCTTCTTAGGGTTACCATATCTTGGTTAGGACATTCTGTGATACCAGTGACTTGAGAGGGAGGGGCAACTGTGCACTGATGATTTTACTGACTCGCTTGAGTTTTCTGAACACTATTAAACTTGACTTTTCCCTTGAAAGGGGCACTGGATACCTGATTGTCTGCTCCTCAAGATCCCATGGTGCTGTTTGCTGATTATATCATCAGACAGCAAAAATTTTAGTTGATCTGTGCTGAGTCTCATTATAAGAAAAAAAAAGTGGGGATTTGGTGACAGAGTTGTATACCTGCTAACTTTTAGAATATGAATTCTGATTTTCTTAAAATAGTTTATACAAGTGAATGTGTGATTCTGCTAGTATGTTCAGGTGACCCCAGGAAGCTTTCAGCTACCCAGTCACTGCTGTACCTCAGGCATTGGCACTCTTGTCATTTAAATGGAATTGTTTCCTTACAGATGATCCAGCTGTTGGCTTGTGACCTGTTGCTATCTCTCCGGACCACTCTGTGGCAGAAGCAGATGAGCTCCAGCCAAGCCCTGGGAGAAACCTACCATGCATCTGCTTCAGAACTAACTGGATTCCAGCGTGACCTTGGCAGTCTGCGAAAACTGGCCCATAGCTTCAGACCTGCTTATCGAAAGGTGAACTGAGAGATTCTGAGAAAGGAAATGATGGCTTGCTTGCACCTGTTCCTTAATTTCCTGTATCCTGTGATAGGTCAAAGGAGGGAATGACCCAGGGCCATTTTGGAGTGAGCAACTTTGGGTGTCTCAGGGGCCAGTTTCTACCCCTGGAATGCCAAGAAGGCATGCTAGAGGGACTGTCTCTGTTTTGCTGTTCTGTTTTGTATTTACAAAACCTGTTCTGCATCCTAAACATGCACAGATACTTTTGTGTAGGTTTTTTTTTTTTAGTGTAGTTGGCCTTGTGAAAGTGTACTCACATGCAGGGGCCTAAAATGGGCAGCCTCACTTTGGCAAAAATAATCTACAGCTTTGCTTTCCCTTAGTAGCTGTCCTTTTGACAGCTGTCAGGGTGTCAAACTCAAACTCCTTTGCAGCCTCCCTGGGTCAGTCTCCTTAGTGGATGCTGCTGCACTTTGACTGTGGACACCTACCAGGTCATTGTTCAGGTGAGGTTGCTCATCTTGAACCCTTAAAAATCCACCTACAAGCAAACATACATATTTACATATATTTGGGGTACATATGGAAAAAGATGATAAAGCAGTGGCACCTTGTTCAATTTGTGGCTTGAAAATTTAGGAGGATCTGTCATTGGCTGTTAACTTGGAGATCATAAAAAAGTAGTCTCCAGAAAAAATAGGGGAAAGGAGAAAAATGCTGTGGCAAGTGAAAAAGAGTTTGCTATACCAGCAAGAAGAGGAGAAAAGGTGGATTTAGTTGCCCAGCCCATGCAATACCAGCTGGATGAATGGGGGGAATGACAAGAACACAGGTCACAGTGGCCTTGATTGTCGGTCTCCTACTGGGTTGTTTGTGAAACAAGCAAGCTACCCTGCATCACTTATTTGCAGGGTGGGTTGTTGTGGTGTGTGATCTGCCCGTTGTGGAAAGGGATGTTGCAACAGGGCGGCTACACACCGGGGGTTGCTCTTTCTTTGCTTACAGGTATTCCTGCATGAGGCCACTGTGCGCTTGATGGCAGGGGCCAGCCCCACCCGCACTCATCAGCTGCTGGAGCACAGTCTCCGGCGTCGGACTCCCCAGAGCACCAAGCAAGGTAAACCAGCTCTTGTGTCCTTTTGTTCTGGCCAGCTTTAGGAGCAGTTTTCTTGTAAATACTGAACTAAGCTACATTCTATTAATATATTCCTTTATTTTATTTCCTATAGTTACATCACATATAATCCACCTGTTTTTTACAGCAAAAGATGGACTTGCAATGTTTCTGAGAATTTCAGAGACATTTTGGAGACAAATTCATGGAGGAGGAGCTATCAGGAGCTAGTAGCCTTGCTGTTCATGTGCTGCCTCCTTTTCCAGAGGTAGCATGTCTGCATACACTAGTTCCTGAGGAGCTTGGGCAGGTGGAGGCCTCACATCCTTCCTGCTTTGGGGGATCCTTTGCGCAGCTTTTTGTATGTTCTTAGTGTGCAGGACTTCCATATTTACCTTACTATAGGGAGGTGGGTGAAGGCTGTAATATTTATTATTACTACACTGAATTTATGTCATGCCTTTTTTCCTCTTGTGAGGAACCCAAGGTGACTTACTATAGCTCCATTTTAGCCTCACAACAATAACTCTGTGAGGTAGTGTGGGTTGAGAGTATGTGGCTTACTGGTAAATGTTTTGGGAACCTAGCTAGTTTATTTTGTTGCAACAATAAAGTGTCCTTGTAAGAAATCCTGGAAGCTGGAATCATCATTTCCTTATGATCACAGAAACATTTCACCCCCAGCCAGGGTGAACAAACAAGGAGCTAACTGGGTGAATTTGGGCTAGTCACAGACTCAGCTGAACCTACCTCACAGGATTGTTGTGAGTGTAAGACTGAGAGGAGGAAGAGAATTATGTAAGCCACCTTGCTTTCCTTCAAAGGAAGAAAGGTGGGATAATAATAAGGTTCACAGTTCTGTTGACTTCTAGGAAATCTTAAGCATGAATGGCACACATGTTTCACTGCAAAGGGGCACGTTAGGTTGCTCTGTCTACTTTGGCAAAATTTCTGTGTTCTTAAACAGTAATAAATTCTCATATTAATTTTTTCAGCACTTTGTGAATCTCGTGCTGCAAAGAGGCTTCTTTCTTGGACATGGAGTTTTATTAAAAATATTATGGCAGCCTTCCAAGCCAAAGTCTTATTTAAGTAATGTATCTTCAGGGTACATCCTCAAGGTCCCTTTCAAGGTTGGGTTTGGTTTAGGCACTCAGATATTGAATTGTGTTGAAGTTCCAAGATGCGCTCCGGTTCAGAAAGGCCTTAACCCTACTGTGGTGACTTACAGTCCAAATGATGCCAGGGTCAATATCTTGGATGGGTGAAGCATGGGGTGGCCTGGCCTGCAAACTTAAGAGCCAGCTTTGGGAATCAGTGGCTGGGATCCCAAGTTCTGTGAATGCAAGTAAGCTCATGGATGGACATTTTCCACCCCCGTCCCCACACTAGTAGCTGCTGCCAACATCTCTCACCCTAGAAAACCTCTCCAGAGGTTAAGCGGTCCCTCCTGAAAAGGACCTGCTGCTTCCCATTGTCTACTATTCAGACATTACTTCTATGAATGTCCTCCTTTTTATGGATTGTACAAGCAAAACCAATGTGTTTAAAATGTTTAAAAAGCAATGATATAAAGAAGTTCACCAACTGATATTTAAGGCTGCTGATGTGAGAAAAACAAAGGCTTGTAATGGAGGGTGTGGGCCTTGCCCACCTGTGGAAGTGTCATATTTTTTACCAGGACAAGACTGCTAAGTCTGGGATGCTGGCCAGGTCTCAGCTTGGGGCATTCCAGCCTCCAGAATAAATTACTGCTTAATAGTTCAGAGAGGCTGCTTCTTGCACTCATTTATGTACTGCAGCATTATAAAGCAGTTGTTTGCTTCTGCCAACATAGTCTGTGTTTAACTGACTCCCACATTACACTTTTTGACTATGAACATTAATTGATCCACCTCCATGTGGCCTCTGTTGTGATGCCTCTTTTTTCATACCTAGGTGAGCTGGATGTTCTTCCTGGGCAGAGGGAACGAGCTACAGCGATTCTCTTAGCCTGCCGCCACCTCCCCCTCTCCTTCCTGTCATCCCCAGGCCAGCGCGCTGTCCTGCTGGCAGAAGCAGCCCGCACGCTGGAGAAAGTTGGGGACAAGCGTTCCTGCAATGACTGTCAGCAGATGATTGTGAAGCTGAGTGGTGGCACAGCCATTGCTGCATCCTAACCCTGGAGGTTGCAGCCTCACCCACCAATCAAACTGGATTCTTGCCCCCTTTCTATCCCTTCCTCCCGCTTTGAATGCTGTTCTAGCTTTGGAACCATGGAAGTGACATTATGCTGGACTTGGTGTAAATTGGCTTGGGTGGCTAGTGAGTTGCCTCAGCCAAGAAAGGACACTCACCTTGGATCAAGAGGGCAATTGTTTTCCCCAGTGGCAAAGTCTCTGCGATGCCTTGGAAAAGAGAAGCTCCTCTGAGGAGGGCTTGAATTCAGCAAGCTTTCTTTCCTTCCTCTTTCCAAAACAATCTAACAGGAACTTCTTTCAGGGAGGAGGAGTGTGAGGACCTGTCCTCTAAACTCCTTGCTTAGCAACTGTGGTGACTCTTAATCAATGGCTCATGAGCCATATACTTGGGGCAGCCCAAGGGAGGAATTGGCTGTGGTTCACCTCTTGGCCCTCGGGAGGCTGCATCTTTTTTCATGGAAGCCTTTCTATCGATTCTGCATTCTCTGAGAGTTTTGGGAAGTTAGACCAGCTCTTCTGAGGCGGTGCATTGCAGTTTGTATGCCATTTGGGGGTTTTCTAGTGATGATTTATGACTTTGCAAACTGTAGAGACAACAATGAGGTCTTTTTCTTCTGTTTTCTGTCTCCTGTCTTTCACTTCTCACTTTGTCTTTCCCTTCTATCAGCCTACAGTTATATTGCTGTTAAGCTAGATGTTGGGTCCTTAACTGTGACTTAGGGCATCTAGTTCAAAAATGCATTTAGATAGGTGAGGACTTTTTGCTTATTAGAAAAACAGCAGCAGCAGCAAAACAGGATTCTAATCTGGATTAGGAATGTGCGTGTGTACAGGAGTAGCCCTTTTCCCAAGACTGTTTTGCTGCCAGAAATCACCCTTGCCCCCCAAAATTGCTATTTCTTCTGTATATTTTTTAAAATACTGCATCAAACAGTAGCTTGTGTAGGGGTTCAGCAGGGCCTTGCAGTGGATTTCTGTGAAAAGAGAGTTGTGGCCACTGATGAATCACATAACTAAAACCATCAGCTGGTTTGACCCTAAAGAAGAAGCAAACTGAAAGCCCTTCTTCCTTGAATACGTGATTCCTGTGGTAGTTGTTTCCTTGTAAGTATGTGCAACATAGCACAGCATCCTAGGACATGCCTGCTTTACCAACCCAAGTTGTCATGGCTATATCCTGTTCTTTCTCTTGATTCTTTAAGAAAACTGACAAAGAAACTTTTTAAACAGTGTGCTTGTGTGTTACCTAGATAACCTTTGACCTTGGAGAAAGCAGCAAAATTGTAAGCTGGTTCTTCTTTATGGCAGAATAGGTTCTAGGAAGATACACTTTTATGCTGCATCGAATTCTGAGTCTCACAAAACTCTTTAGCCTTTCCCTGCTGCCAGTAGCACCTTTTTAAATTCTGGTTATTCTTATTTCATCTTTCCACACCTACAGAATTGCCTATTGAAAAATAATATATACAAACACACCAAATGTGAATTGGGGGGCACTGGGGAGTTTTGTGTGTAGGGGAGTGTCCTATGAGTATGACACAAATGTACCTTACATTGTTCCTCAAAGTAGTTCTGTCTTTGGTAATTCTTTATTAAACATGTGACCATACTTTACAGCAAAAGTAGGACTGTCTTTAAAGGAAAGAAAAAGTAATTTGCCTCCTAAACCTCTCATTAACAATTTTTTATTCAAATTACTCTGACCCAAGATACAAACCGGAAAGATTAGGTGGGTTCAAATCTTGCAGCTGTTACATAAGTGGAGGAATGTTATCCAAAGTCACATCAATAACAGGTGCCTCTCATATTAATGTCCAACTTTTATTTTATATCCACAGAAAGAACCAAAACCTGATTGTATAATAAAGCTTTGTGGAATTTCTATTTTGAAAGCCTTTTCTCAGTCTTCCTAAATGTTTTGGATCTAAGAAGGAGCAGTTTCATGGCAGCTTCAATTTCCCACTGGTAGATGCAAATGGATATTTTATTTATGTGTCCTTTTTCACTCTGGCCCCAAAAGTACACAGTGCATTTAACCTGTGGGCTTCTGGGAAGTTGCTTTGTTAGCATAGATTCATGAGTGGATCTATCTTGCATCATATAATAATACAGATCTGCTTGGCTGCTTTTCCTGAAACACTGATGGCCACTGTGGCCTGAATTTGTGGCTCAGATGCAATTCACACTTCTGACCCATAGGCATGTTGAACTGGGCAGGCTGAAATTTGAGTAGCATCCTGTTATTTCAGGGTTTTTCCCAATGATGGCTTCTGTAGTGATGGTAGCAACAGTAAGGGTAACAAACTACCTCAGTGAAAATGATACCTATTAGTGGGAGAGGATTCAATGAGATCATTGCTGGTTTAGCTCACAATTGCTGTGCCACATGCAGAACTTGCTGATCTGTTTGTAGTAGCAGCAGACAATTCAGGATTAACACAGGGCCAGGATATTCTATTAGGCAAATTGATTAAGCAAGCTTGACATTGGAAAATCCATCTGGAACTTTGCATAGCAAATGATCTCATGTGCTTAATTTACACTGTTTCTAGGTTAGTTTACCCTGAAGTGCATTCCCCATTGGTCTTAAGGACAGTGGGTATCTTGCAATTCCATGGATTTGTAGCCTTAAAAACCAGGGATGAGTGTTGTGGTCAAGAATGGGCATTGTACATAAGTAAGGGGGGCTAAGGGTGGGACTTCTCGCTTGTTGAAATAATGTAGATAAGATCTCCATAAGGAAACCATCCTTACCTTCCACATACTTATACTTACCTTCCACATACTTGCATTTTTATACACCTCATTTATTTATGGGTCTTTGTTCCCCCAATCTATCCCTCTATTATTTTTGTGTATATAATGTATCACTTTTGGGTTTTTTATATATGATGTGAAAAGTGTCTATCCCAGTAAAATTAGGCATAAGGATGCTTTGTGGTAAGAAGAGGCAGCTGGTAATGATGTGAGGGGATGATAATTTCTAATATATGTTCCAGTTGTGACCATCTCCTGGGGACCATTGTGTGACTTATATAAATAAAGACAAATTGTACTCATGGACTAATAGTCTTATTAACAAACCTTCCTTAAAATACGTTGAATTTAGGCAACATGATGAGTATCTAAATATTTCTCCCACAAAATGGTTTTGCACATCAATGGCATGATAATGCTAAAGCAACATCAGCATGCTCTGTGACGTGACGTTACCTCTTAACTCTGGAATAATATTTCCTCCAGCATGCACATTCCTTGATGTTATGCCAGAATTTATTCTGCATTTCTAGGGGAAGGATCAGTTCTGTTTTCCTATCCGTCTTGAAGGACTGGGAATAGAAAATCTGTACTGATCTATATGCCAGAGAGGTGATAAAAGAAAACTCATACAGATAGCACAGTGGCAAATAATAGGATGATTCTACAAACTTCACCTTTAACTTCTGGCTGTTCACCCCAGTTTGTAATTAGTCTGAAGTGAAAGTGTAAATACGGTAAGTGTTAAAAGATCTGAAGTAAAAGTGTCGTGGCACCTTAAAAATCCATGCATAAGCCTAAAGGTGGAGCATAGGCATTTATGAGAAACAACTATTAAATACATGACAAGAACTTAAATAGACATGCACACATGATACAAAAGTCTGAGTTTTAAAGGTGAAAATAATGTGTGCAGGTTTTGATAGGATGGTGGATATGAATGTTGTACAGCCAACATACTAAAGCTAGTATATAAAGAATGAACAATTTGTGGAACATGCATGCAATGCATAGCCAAACAAAATTCTTCCTGTTTGTGATATTTCTGTACCACTTATAATAATGTTACTAAGTGGTTCACATACATAGAACACACATTTTGGATATAATGAAGTTCAATATTTTAAGACATTGAGATACAGTATTTGAATAGCTTTATTTTTGAAGTGTCTGATTTCTTCCATGGATTTTCTAATTCCCTTCTGATGCCTTGTTTCAGCACAAGAATACTTTGTGTACTACTGGTGGACTTTCCTCCCACACTGTCCCACCTCTGTATCACTGGAGTGAAGGAAATTTGGCCCTGTCTGTGAATCCAATTTCCCATGTGCTGGGGGGGGGGGCATTGTACCAATCCCCCACATTGTATAAAAATAAAAGCAAGCTGGGAACCCTGTTGTGGGTTTAGATGGCTGGAGTCTGATGGGACAGTTCCTCGTTTCTCTTTGGCTTACCGTGTTCTGCTTCATTATTCTGTAGATTCATGGTAGTGTTCTATGTTTGAGATCAGTTTCCAGTTCTCTGGACATGGATAGTGGAATTCAGGACTGAATTCCCAGGCTCTGAAGCTGAGGGGAAGCTCTTTTCCCCTTGTAGCCAGTCTGCAATATGCTCAAGGAGGTGATACCCATCAGATACAGTTATAGGAATTCCTAGGAAAGATCACATCTCTGAATATTCACATACTGACAAAGGCACAACAGCATGAATAAAAGGTTTCATAGTTTCGTTTCTATTGACCAGCAGAGGGCAGGAGTAATTCAGCAAGTGGTAATTATGCTAGATTCAATTGAGCCCTATTTCTGTATTCTCAGAGCTCTTGGGTTCATAGTACCTCAGTTTGAATTAGCACATGCTAGTAACCTAAAAACTATTTCAACCAGGACATGGAATTTTCATACATGTTGCTCTTTTTGCAGAAATACTCCTTGCTATAATTCTTTTCATTTTCCTTCCTTGTCTTTCTATATTCCAGTACTTTGCTTCCTGTATTAGTCTCTGTCCATCCCTCCACCTTATGCATATGCATTTCTTTCTGTTGTAAAACTTAAGACTAAAGGCAACAACAGTAGGGCCAGAAAGGAGTATTCTGGGCATTCTGGGCTAAGGGACCATGATGCGGGCTTAGTGAGGGTGAGCTTTTAAAAACCAAGGAAGTGGAACTCAGTTGCAGGGTCTGCTTGCAGGCTTCCCACAGGCATCTGGTTGTCCCCAAACTGAACGCTGGTCTAATAGACCTTTGCTCTAACCCAGCATGGCTCTTACATTAGTAATCACTGTTAGAATGTGAAATGAGTTACCAATTAGACTAATTATGGGTTTAGTTAGGTTCACAACACACACAGGAACACAGAAATATATCTCCCCTGATCACCACAATCTAGGCCAGGATCTTGAATGCATTAGGTTTGATCCAGATTTATGTGTATGCAAATGGATGTGTGAAATCCTGCTCTCCAGGACAGCCCCCATCCCCTCCCAAAGATGGGGGAAAGTGAGGATCCCCCAAAACTAGGTGCAGGTAACTTGTTTGAGTAGAGCTGGATTCACAAGAGGTGTCTCCACCAAATTTTCACAGAGACACTTTTCCATTTGCACCATTCAGGCTCCTACAAACTTCTCTGTAGCATTTTCAGGGAACTGGTGGAGGGTGCAGATGGCAGGAAAACCAACTTCTGGCAAGGATTTCTGCTTCACCTCAGTTGGAATCCAGCCCACCGATTTCAGCTCTGTGATCTTGGTGGAAAACTGACTATAGGTGGGAAAACACTAAAAGGGTTGTAATTTTTATAGCAATTCATTCAATGCAACACACCCTTTAACAGATTGCTGCTACTGAAACAGCTCATTTTCTTTTCTCTCTTCATTCCAAGAAGTATAAAGCACACAGGGGAGTTAAAGACTCACCAGCTTGCAACTGTGTGGTAGCACTGGCTCAGCATGACATGAGCCCTTCCAAGCCAGAGACAGCTGCATTTCTGTGGTGGAAGAAGTCCTCACCCACCTGAATTTTCCATGGCAAGAATATGTGAGAAGGGCCACATTCCCATGGGAAAATGGTCAGAGCTACAAAATGCCAACACTGGGTAAGTCCAAAGCAAAAAACCCAGGAAGGGGCGCTGATTTTTCTCTCCCGTCCCTCTTCCCTTCTTTCATACGCACTCACACAGACTATTTGACCCCGCCACAGGGATCCCCAGTGCTGCTGGTCAGCCATAGCTCGGTGGCAGAGCACCCGCTTTGCATGCAAAGGGTCTCGGGTTTGTTCCTGGTGCCTCCAGGGAGGGCAGGGAAAACTCCTACCTTGCTCTTTGGAGGGCTGCTGCCACTCTGTGCCAACAGCTTGATGGACCACTGTTCTGACTGGGGTAAGCTAATGTTAGGCTCCTAAGAAGCAGTGTATAAGCACCAGTCTGGGCTGCAGCAGGATTCCTAGAGGTGGTGGATTAAAGACCCTGTGAGTCATTCTGCCACCTCACCTCTTTGCTCCCCACCATTCCTGCACATCCCACTCTAGAAACCAAATCTGGTTGGCTGAGGAACTCTTTGTTTGGAGGGCAGGTTACTGTCCTGCACATGAAGATCGATAGTCCTGTGGGATCTCCAGCTTAAGATGTGAGAATGAGGCCGTTGTGCTGGGGGCATTTGTGGTACTGCAGCTTTGTCTTCTGATGGAGCCAGTGGTTTGTGAAGGCAAAGTCCTCTCCCTGCTTCCCAGCAATGATGGCAGCTCTTGTGAATAATGAGGTGGAATCTAGGAACTTAGAATCGCCTGCAGGGCAACCTCTGCTGCCAACAGGTCTGGATGGGGCAGTGGGCAGGATAAATCTTTAGTGCTGTGCCAACGAAGAGACACCAGTGCAGCAGACTTGCCCTGGCAAGGTTTGGCAGCACGAAACGGAAAGGCATTCTAATCAGCAGTTTTGGGGAGGAGCCCTTGTTTTCCAGAGCCATCCTGTCACCACTCTCCTTGGTGCTCTTGGGCTTCTTGCAAGTTGTGTGCAAGAAGCTGTTCCCTCCCAAGTGTGGCCTTGTGGGGCCTTTTTGGCCGTTGCCCTGCCAGCAGGAGACAGTCCACTTTCAGGAAGTGTGTGTGTGTTACAGAGAGAGAGAGAGAGAGAGAGAGCGAGAGCGAGAGAGAGAGAGCGAGCGCTAGCAAGCCAGCCTTTCTCAATGTGCAGCCACCCAGACAAGATAGCCATTGAAGGAAGCTTTTCTCCATAATGCTAGAATGGAGGGAGATTGAGGTGCTTCTTCACACAGCCTGTAGGTAATTCATGGCATTTGCTGCAGTAAGATCTGATGCTCAGGTTATTGGAGATGGTGTGCCATGCTAGCCTTATGCTTGCTCTGTATTCGGAGATATTTGCCCTGGTAGCAGTCCCTGGGGAGCACACCTTGTGTCAGGTTTGGAGGCCTCCAGGCAAGGTGCCCTCCGCCCCCCTCCCCGGTAGCCCCACCCTGGGCAATCCTTCTTCCATGATCCAATCCCCTTGCATGCCTCCCGAGCAGCTGACCTCCTGCCCCACCACAGCCGAGCCAGGTGCTCCCGCTGTTTCATGAGCTTGTTGGGGCAGGGTAAGCAGCTGCTGGCAGGATCCGCTGCAGTGCTGGTGGGCTCAGCCTGTTCCCCTCGGCAGGGGTTCCTGAAAGGAAAAACATGGTGTTGGCCAGCAAACACAGAGAAATTTGACCAAAGGGGGGTGATGGGCAGCTCAGAGGCAGCTGCCCTCTCCATTTGGCCCCTAATCTTTGGTGGCTGCCTTCAGTAGCCCTGCTGGCCCCCAGCATTTGCCTAGCCATGATGGTGACCGTGATGTCATGCCTGCTTGGCAGCAGCAGTGGAATAGTGTTTTTGCCATGGTGCCCAACTTGGGACTTCCTACAGGCCTCTGGTTTGATCCCCATGGGAAACGGGATGCTGATTGGATGGGCCTTTCATCAAATCTTCAGAATGGGTGTTTCTGTTCATTTCTGCATGTATCTTTCTGCCATGAAAGGCCTGTTGGCCTAACTGTTTTTGGAAAGATTTAGAGATGGGGCCCACTTTGGAAATGGCTCCCAGACATCTGGTCTCCTGAATCAGAGGTAAAAGGTAAGTGCAAGAGGTCTAGGCCCTGAGATCGCAGCAGAATGCAGATGTTTCTTGCTTGTGGTTGGCTCGGAGGGGTAGATCCCTCCTTTGTTTCCAAGGATACTGTTGAGAAATCTAAGGGAAAATGCTATAGATTACAAAAGCAAAATATTTTGTTTGTGGGGTGGGGGATTAATTTGCTCAATGGGCATATTCCTTGCAAAGTGTTT